CCCCCTCCCCAACCCCCCTCTCCTTGCCATACCCCCCCATTTCCTCTTCAGCCCCGTTATCTGCCCGCCAGGCGCTGCAATCGCCGTCCTCCGGGTGCAGCAGTGCCTGGGGTTGGGGCCCAGCTCTATCTGCCTGACCCCCCCCCCGCCATAGGGTATGTGTGGGAGGGCACACGGTGGGGGGACCCCCCGAGGAAGAGGCCCCTCTGCCTCCCTGGGGGCAGCTCATCCGCTCGGCTCGCTAACGCAATAAAGCTCCGATCGATATTTTAAAAGAAAGTAAATGGACTCTTCTACTGTTGTTAAGAGAGGCATAGCCCCTGCAGGGGGGGAATCTGCCCCGGTTCCCTCTCTTCCCTCCCCCCCCCAATGAAAGGAGAGGTTGGGCTGATCTCAATTCTGCTATGGGGAAGGCTCCCCACACCCATCGGGAGCAGCATTTGGCAGTTTGCTGTTCTGTGTGTAGCTGATGGAAATCTACAGCTGGGGGGGGGGGTTCTTCGTCACCCTCATGCCCTTCCACCACAGCCCCAGTGCCCACAGCTGCTGGCAGGGGCTGGGCAAAGTGGGGAGCATGGAGCCAACCCCATTGAGCACCGGACACCATTTGGGCTTTTACCCCCCAAAAATGAGCGCTATAAGGAACAGCTTTAAGACCTTCACCACAAACGGCCACGGGAGAGGATCGCTGTGCTCACCACAGAAGCCATGAACATCCCTGGGGCTGCACAACCAACTGCCTCCCCCAGAGCCATCAGAGGGGGCCGATCCGGAACAAAAGCGGCGTTGGATCCTTGCGCACTGCGAGCGGCACCGGCTGCATTCAAAGGGCGCCTTTGAGCAAGAAATCACCATTTCCTCTGCCTCCTCGGCCCCTCTTGCATTTCCCCCTTTTCAGTTTTAATTGCTGCCTGAGTCATGTGAACAGCATGAAACCATTGAGGGCACCTGCCCCGGGGGCTGTGGCCCCAGCGCCGTGCAGGCGGAGGGACAGACGGACTGATGGACAGACTGAGTTGCAGGGTGAATCTGACCCAGGAACCAGCATCGTTCCCAGGGGCACCGTGACGCTCGTGTTACAACCACCCAGTTCTGTGGGCTGCCTGCAATTACCCCCCATCCGCCACGCTGCCATCAGCGAGAGGAGAACGAAAACGGCACGTCTATCAGCAAAAGCCCAGGGTGTTTTTCCCTGTCCAGACCAGTGAGGAATGGGACAGGGCTGGACACGGCCTGAGCTCCGTGCTGGGGTTACTGAGTTGCTTTCAGTTTGTTGCTTTTTTTCCTAACCGTTGCACTTTGAAACCCCGTATCTCGGGCAGGCTTTGCTCAGCAGCAGATAAGGACTGAGGTTTTTGTGCTACCAGCGTGTTTGAGGCATCCCAATTTGGAACGCTTCAGAAACCTCCCGTCTCCCCTAAAAGCACCAGCAGCTCACCACAAGCCAACCTCCCCCTACTCCGTGGGCTTTTTTAAAGCTGCTTTTAAATAGGAACAGAACCACGGGGCTCCAGCACCTGCCTGCAGCACCAAGTCATGGCACCGAGCTCTCACCAACAGCCCAGCTGTGATGGCAGGCAGCAGGCACAGAGAGGCAAAGCGACCCTAAGCGTGTGCAGGGCACAATCAGCTCCTCCCAGCCCCATCCCTGCTGCCAGCTCCGAAATCTGGCACACACACACCTCTGTGGCAGGGCAGCCCTGGTTCCCCTATGGGGTGATGGGGTGCACACACCTGGCTTGCTGCTGAATCAGAGCCGTGCGCCTGCCCACGGTGCACAACCAGCAGCTGGCTTTCACATTCAGCACAGGAAACTCCAAAAGGGGCAGGGACAGGAAACTGCGATGGCGTGGGCTGCGAGCGCACCCCCGGTTCAGGCTCCTGGTATTAGTGGGGTGCAGTCATATCCTCACCCGAAACAGAAAGGTCAGGAGAGGGGTTCTCCTGGGGCACTGCACTGCGCACTGGGGTCCTTTGCTGAGGTTCCTCCAGCTCTGTGCTCCCCAGGGCAGCATTACGCAGCACTTTGCACCGCCGGCTTGTTTGCAGGCACTGAGCTGCCCGTGCTCAGCAGTTCACCCAAGCACAGCCCAGCACGGCCATAGCCAGAGCCTGCGGTGTCTCTGGGCATGGGGACAGTCCACAGAGCTCCAGGATTGCCTTATTCCAGTTGCCTATGTACGGCTGAGAGCTCCAGGCTCGATGCTGGGAGCCCAGATGTAGTGGCATTGCCTGGCTGACGCCAGCCCTGGTCTCAGCATCCCACTTGAGGCAGATGAAAGGCAACCAGCACAAACCTTTTCCTGCCCCACAGGCACAGGGGGTCAGCCCCACTGCAGGCTTTTATAGGAAGGAAGGAAGAGGGAGGGAGGCGAAACGAAGAGCGAGGGCCACGTTGCTCTCTGTTACTGGGGAGGGATGCGGACAGTGGGCTGGGGTCATTCCTTGAATCGAGCCCTGCACTGGGTAAAGGGCCCAAAAACCCCATGGTTCCCAGGAATGGAGGTTCTCAGAAGCATTCCGACTGCCTCCAGCTGTGCCCTCCCCCAGGCACTGGTTGCTGCGGGTCTCACTATCATCATCCTGCAAAGGGGATTTTCCTCTGCAGGAAAAGGCACATTCCTCACCCAGCCCAGCACAAGCGCAGCGACGAGCTTACAGCCAGCAGGAGCAAAGGATTTCAGCACTACCCTGGCACCAGCAACAAGCTGAGCCCCCAGCCTGCAGCCCCCCCAGCTCCCCACCGAGGAGCCCCCGGCAGCCCCCAGCCCTGCAGGCTCCTTTGTTCTGCTGCTGCACGGGCAGCGCCCAGGTCAGCAGGAGCTGACCTCTGCCTCTCAGTGGCCGTCCCCAGGGATGGGGAGGTGCCACGCATTGGCTTCCCGACCCCGCACGCTTCCCCTTCGCCCCGTTGCACAGCAGCTTCCAGAGGGCTGATTTGCAGGAATCTGCCCCAAATGAGTCAATAAAGTGCCTCGGCAGAGGGGAGTGCAGAGCCCCCCCTGGGGCAATGCAGCCATAAAGGGAGGGTGGGATTGCGGGGGGCTGCAGGAGCTGCATCCCAGCAGAGCTGGCCTGCGAGGAGCTCGGCTGCAAAATAAAGAGGAACCCAGAAATAGCACCTTCCTCAAGCTGCACGTCCCCATCACAGCAACACCGTCACTGCACAGCAGCGCTCACAGCCCCGAGCGGCGGGTGAGCAAACAAAAGCACCCCCCCAGCACACAGGGACTGCCCCCAGCACCAGAATCCCTCTCCACTCCATCCCTGGGCTGCAGCACTGCGTTCACAATCGAGTCTTTCCACACTGGGTTAAAGGCACAGAGCAGAGAGGTTGCAGCCCCCGCGCCCCCCGGAGCCGGGCGCATCCTGCCTGCGCTGTGTTTACATTCCTGCTGCTCCTTCCCAGCCCGTCAGCTGGGTCGGGGCGAGCTGGGAGGCACGCGTTGGAGGGCAGCCAGGAGGAGCTCCCGGGCAGGCGCTGCTCGCAGCCCCTGGCCTCAATCCAGAGGCCAGGATCCAAGCTGACGTGCCGGGGGAAGCCTCTCCCCGAGCGGGCGCTTTGCTTCCTTGCCTCCACCCACGGCACGGAGGCAGCAGGCACCTTTCCCTTCAACGCTGGGTGCTTCCAACACAACCAGGAAGCTGTCCCAGTGGTGCCCAGAGGGATGGGTGCACGACCCCCTCGTATCCATTTGTGGGGTGGGAGAGGTGGGACTGAGCCCCACATTGTGCTGCCGGGCACCGACGGCCGGGAGCTCCCTGCGCAGGGCTGGGATACGCTCATACAGCGACAAACAGGAAGATCACAGCCGTGGTATCTAAAAGCCTTTTCACAGATAAAAAGATTACGTCCCCCACTCTCTAATTACAGGAAGTACAAAAGAGAGAAACCACAAGAAGAAAGACGATGCAGCGCCAGGAGGTGAGGATATGTACGCACTCGAGACAGCACAGGAAAAGTTCAATGTGTTCATAAAACCCACACGGACGTACGTTGGGGTTACGGAGGAGCAACGAAGGCACCAGGGCTGCTGTGAAGCACCCAGGGAAGGGGCAGCAGGGGCTGAATGCTGCCCTCGGTGCCTGCCGTGCTGTGGATGGTGGGCACAGGGATGGCAGCAGCGCAGGGAGCTCAGCCACGTGCTGTGCCAAACGGTGCCAAGTGGCCCTGCTCCAGCAAAGGCTCCCAGCCCTGCAGCTGTGCACAGGCACTTTGGGATCCACACAGCTCCTGTCCTGCTGCTCCCCCGATCAGAGCCAGCAGGGCAGCCCCCAGACCCCACAGCACTGCTCACCCAGGAGGCGAATGCAGTCCAGGGCGTTCTCCTCCCTGCCCCAGCACGCTGTGAAATTCTCCAACCCTGGCTGTACGCTGCTGGGGCAGCCGGGAGTTGTGCAACAGCCTCCAGCCCTGGGCAGCCGTTTTCCTCTCACAGCACAGAGGCAATGGGATGGCACAGTGCTGCCCGTGCCCCAGCAGCAGCCCCCAGCCCACCTCCCCAAGCTGAGCGAGGGGCAGCGGCCACTGCACCCCTCCCAAAACATCACACTCTCCATCTGGGTCCCATCTGCTGCTGTTTGCTCTCGCCCCCTCCCCCCAGCCCTAAACTCAGATGTACTTAAACACACACATCAAAGGGCTGGGGCAGCCCCCGGGGAGCCCCGCTTTACACTATTTCCTTCTATTAGCCCCGAGCTCGGGTTTGTGCAGCCCACAGCCAGGCACGTGGAAGAGAGTCCGGAGCTTGGGGGGCTGCAGCCTCTGCTGGCACAGAGCCCACCAAAACAACCCCAGCAACGTGGAGAAGAGCAAACCCAAGAGCTATCTTCACATTTGCAAACCCGGAGTGACATTTTTTCCCCCCCTCTCCGTTCCCAGCAATTCTCCCAGCTCCCTGCAACGAGCCGAGGGACTCAAACCCCAGAGGAACCCGGCGGTTTCTTAGCAGCACCAAACCCAGCTCAACCCTCCAACCCCACGTCCCCTCGGCTCCTACCTGCTTGAACTGCTCCTCGTAGGTCCAGTCGCCGTGGTCGGGTGCAGGCTGTGGGAGCTGTGCGTGGCCCTGGGGGCCCAGTCCAGCTGGGAGTCGCTCCTGTGCGCCCGGCAGCCGCTGTGCTTCACCCCGGCAGTGCTGAGGTGCCGGCGGCTTTCGGAGCAGCAGGGACCCCGTGCCTGTCCGCACCGCCTCCGCTGAGCCCAGCCCCTCCTCGCCCATGTCTTCCTCCTCCTCATAGTCTTCCTCTTCTTCTTCCTCCTCCTCTTCTTCCTCTTCTTCTTCTTCTTCCTCCTCCTCCTCCTCCTCGCCCAGGTCCTCTTCAAATTCTTCTTCATCCCATTTGCCCTTCCTAGAGCAGGGAAAGGGGGGAGATGTGTGATTAGCACCCTTAAGGTGGCCCATCTGCACAGCACTCCTGCAGAGTCAGACTCGCGGGCAGGAGGTGGGAAGACATTCCCACGAGCCCTCCCTACTTCCAGAAGCCTTTCCCAGACCCTCAGTAGCATATGAATGAGGTCTGTTGGGCCTCCAGCCATCCCTGTGGGCTGTCCCTCATTTTGGGAGTCTGTGACCTGCCCAGGGAACTGCAGGTCGGGCAGAGGCACCACCGATGGCCCGTCATCATTCAGAACCAGACTGGGATCCCGTATCACTGCCCCAGTGTGGCTCTCAGACAGAGCTGAATTTTACCTAGTGCCCAGCCAGCACCAGGAACCAGCGCCATGAGGCAGATGGCTCCACATAGGTCTGGGAAAGGTGAAAACAGCCAATTCCAGTGTCTGTCAACAGGGCAGCAGCTCCAGCCCAGGCACCACGCACAGTCTCCAAGGGAGGGCCCAGTGCTGTTGCCCACCTGCCCCGGCTCCCCTGCTCCTCCCTGAACCCCATGTGCTGCCATGTACTCACAGGTCCTCCTCCTCCTCAGAGCCCATCTCCTGCTGGTAGCCACCACCATCTTCTTCCTCTTCCTCCTCCTCACCACGTTCCTCCTCCTCCTGGCTCTCCTCCGACAGCCCTGGGCTGGATGAGTGGCTGAGGCCGGCGGCTGCGGCCCGCATGGCAGCCAGGGCAGCCATCTGTGCCCTCTGGATGTGAGCGCTCTCAGGTTCCGTGCCTTCCTCCAAAGGGGCTGGGGCCAAATCAGGGCCTCGTCCCCGGGCAGGGGTCTGTCCTGAGGCCGGTGGGGGCTGCGCCGGGGGGGGTGTGGAGCGTTGCTGCTGCTGCTGCTGCTGCTCCTGCTGCCGTGCTTCCAGAGCCTGCTGCAGCCGGGCGCGCTGCTGTCGCTGCAGGTTCTCCATCACTGCCTGCAGCTTCATGGCTCTGCCAGCGGGAGGCAGGGCCCCGGGGGGGCGGGGGGAGATGCCCTGGGGGCGCGGGGGGCAGCGCCCGGCAGGGTGCCGCGCTCCAGCAGGGCGGGAGGCCAAGGCGAGGGCGGTGGGGCGGGCAGCCCTGTGAGGGGGCTGCCGAGCCCCCAGGAGGGCGGCAGAGGCACTGGGGGGCTCTGCGAGGCCGTGGGGGGCACGAGGTGGGTCAGAAAGGGACGATGCAGCCCCCCGGCCCACCCCACGCTTTGTTTTGCCGCAGGGCTCCTGTTGGGAATGTGGGCTCGGGATGCTCGGCTGTTGTCAGGAGTTTGGTGGGGTCAGCAGGCGGCTGCCAGGCGCATGGCTCCGTCCTCACTGCCAGGCACTTCCAGGGGTTGCGTTCAGCCCTTGGCCCCCCGTTGGCTGCAAAGTATCCTCAGTCCTCAGGCAGCTGAGCCTTGGCCAGGCGTGGGCGCAAACCTACACAGGGACAAGTAAAGAAGAGGGTCAGGAGGCGGCGAGCAGGAAGGAGTTAAAGACAGCCCAGGAGCCTCATTAATCTCGAGCTAATGAGATAGGGAGGCCGGGCCCTGCTGCTGCAGGGGGAAGGGGCCTGCATCCAGATAGCCCAGCCGGGCCTCCAGGCAGCTCGGATAGCAGCAGTGCAGATAACAGACCCTGCTGGGGCCACACAGGGAATCATCACCGCCTGTCCCTTGCTGCTGGGACCAAGCAGGACACTCAGGGACACTGAGGACACGTGGGGTGCAGCGTCGCCATCCTTGGGGCAGACACTGCTCCCCAGAGTTGCAGACGCCACATGTGGGAAGCACCCACGGTCAGCACCCCAAGCATGGTCCCAAAACACAGAATCCTGTAGGGGTCCCATGGACACCGTGCTGCAGGGCAGGACAGCCCTCTCCTAGGTGAGCCACCCACAAGGTCACTCGTCCCAGTTAATCCCCTTCTAGAAACACTGAGGTGTCTGGCCTGGCACCATCCAACAGCACGAGGAATGGGGGCTCAGCCAGCAGCACGCCAGGAGCCCCCTCCCCTCATCAAACTGCATTGCTGGGTGTTCATTCGGGAAAGGGGAAATCACCTCGAGCCTACGAGGGTTGGCAACCAGATCTCATCCATTCCCTGCAATGGCTCATGGTGGGGAACACCTACACAGCCCCGAGGGTGGAGGGCTACCGGCTGCCATTGGGGGTTACCAGCTTCCCAAGCCTCAGATTACCCATTCCCCCCACTTTGCCTATTCCCACTGGAAGCATTTGGGGCCAATTTATGCTGCAGCCACAGAAATAGAGGGTTGTGGGGTAACCGTACGGGCGCACAGACCCCCGGGTTTGCAGTTCCATAGCACGGTGACCCCGAGCCCCTTTGTCCGGCCCCATTCTGTGCCTGCAGCCCCACGGGCAGTCGCTCACCCTCGCGTGGGGACGGCGCTGGGACCGAACGCTCCCGAGTCCGGCCCGCAGTCGGGAAGCACAGGGAGGAGAAACAGAGCCCGGCGGTGCCGCTGCGCGTGGGGACGGGCACAGGGAGCCCAAGGGGAGACGGAGGTGGGGGTGGGAAGGGGGGGGGGGGGCTCGGCCCGGGGCACGTGGCAGCGGCCGGGAACGAGGCACGGCGAGGGGGGAAACGGGGGGGAACAGAAGAAGGCCGGGGCGGCTCTGCGAGCTGTGCCCGGTGCCGTCCTCCGCAGCCCCGTTCGTAGTGCGTGGGCACCGCGGGGATTCCTGCGGTCCCCGCCGGCTTCAACGCCACCAACGGGGTTCCGGTAACCGACCGTGGGATGGGCAGCCGGCGGCGCGGCTCGAGTCGGACGGAGGGGAAGTCCCGGGCCGAGCAAACGGCGCGCGGCATTGCGGCCGTTACCGACCACGGAGAGGGAGGAAGAGGGGGAAGGGGAGGGGAAAAACACCGCGGTCCACCGGTAACGCGCCGCGGGAGAGAGATTCGTCCGTGACCTCGGGTACCGAACGCGGGGCAGCCCAGAGCCACCCACCGAGGGGCAGCGAGGAGAAGAGCCCCAGTCCGCGGTAACCGGCCCCGGTGCGCACCTCTTACCCGGTGGAGGCCGCGCGCCACGAAGCCACATAGCAGCCACGGCCGCCCGGGGCTCGGGCTGCAGCGGGGCCGGGGCTGCGCTCGGTGCCCGCACGTCGGCTGCTCTCCGGACGGGCGGGCAGGGGGGCCCGGCAGTGCCCCGCCCCGCGCTGCCATTGGCCCGCCGCTCCCGCCACGCCTCATTCCGCCCCGCCTCGCGTTTTAATTGGCTGTCTCCTGCCGCCTCGCCCCGCCCCACTTTCCTATTGGAGTACAGCGGCCGCCGCATGCAAATATCGCGGCGCGGAGCCGGGAGGCGGCTTGGGGGCGCTGCTACAGCGCCGCCTTGCGGCTAGGTGGGCGAGCGTGCTCTGACCCGCCCTTTGGTGACGTCACTTCCTGTCGGGCCGAGCGGGGCCCGGTTCCGCGGTCCCTTTAAGGCCGAAGCGGCGGCGCGAAGCCCAGCTATGGTGGTGCTGCCGGGCGGTGCGGCGGTGCGCGGCTCCCCGGAGCCCTTCCCGTGAGTGTCGCTGCGGGGCGATCCGGGTGGTGCTGCTGGGGGCTGCGGGAACGACGTGTCCCCGGCCGCTGCCCTCCGCCGGTACCGAGAACGCAGCCGGAAGGGCGCTGTCCGGGCCTAGGGGTGCTGATGGGGGTTGGGGGGGCTGCGACCTCTCGACCCGTGAGGAGCGATTTTGTGCCCGGCCCCTGGGCGGCTGTGCTGGCTGTGCTCCCTGTTGCCCTTCTGCCTGCTGTTTGTTTTGCTGTTGTTTCATTTGTTGTGTTTGTTTGGGTTGTTTTTGGGTTTTTTTTTTTGCCCCTCTCCTATTGCTCTGCTAAAGGAAATCCCCACAAAGCAGAGGGGAAGCTGGTGGTGCAGAGTCTTTAGCAAGTGAGCAAAGAGCGAAAGGCAGTGAAACTTCCTGTGCTTGGCTGGGCTTTGGTCAACTTTAATAGCAAAGCCAGTTGCTGTAGGTGCCCAGGGAGCTTCGTGCTGATCACTCAGTTCAACCTTCCTGTTAAATCCGCCCTTTTATGATCATTCTTTCAACTGTGTCTACATCTGAACAACACCCTGACTACATAATCATTGCTAATAAAAGCCAAACACCTCCAAGTGTCTCGGTGGAGCTCAGGGTTGTTGCCTTCTTGCAGTAATGCTGTTGCTGGAGGCTACTTAGTTTGCACTACCTTGCCATCACTATGGGCCCAAGGGGCCTCAGGAGCTCAGCTCCTCTGTCCCATCCCTGCAGGAGGATCGAGGACTGCCTGCCACCGCTGGAGAGCTCCCCATCCAAGCGCTTCTCCCCCTCCAAGCGGAAGCAGTACTACATCAACAAGGCCATCCGCAACTCTGACCTCATCCCTAAAGCCAAGGGGCGCAAGAGCCTGCAGAGGCTGGAGAACAGTAAGGCTTGGGTGGCTGCAGTCCACCCCCAGTTCCCTACACGGCCTGCAGTGAGGGCTTCTGTGAGGACCCTGCCCCCAAACTCAGGGGCTTTGCTGTTGCTTTCCTCCCCAGCTCGCTACTTGATGTCACTCTTGGAGCGAGATGAATGTGGCAGCAGTGAGGCTGAGCTCGCCCACTCTGCCACCCCGAGCATCTTCACCGAGGCCTGCAACAATGAGACCTATGTGGAGGTAGGATGTGGCTGCCTGTTTTGCTGCCATTCAGCGCGTGGAGTGCTAGTACCTTGCTGCCCCAGACAGAGGGGCTGCCTGCATTTCCCTCAGAGCCCATATAAGGGCCTGGCTTGGCAGTGGGTGCTGTGATTTGACTGGTTTGGGGTCTGCTGCTGTTCTTGTTGTACTTGAAGTGCTGCTGGGAGCTCTTTGCGTAGCTTTGGGCAAGCTGCAGAGGGTAATCTTGAGTGAGCTGCAGCACTTCCTCCACACCAGGCCTCTTGCCAAACACCTCAGTTGTTGCTCCATACAGCCCGGGTGGTGTTGCTGTACCTCCTCCATGACCTCGTCTTCTGGCACCTCTCCTGTGTTAGGTGTTCACAGCTCTGGCTGCAGGGCTATACGTGTGGTCTCTGTGCACTCTGGGTGCTGTGAAGCTCTTCCGCTCTTACTCAATCCAGCCTTGGAAAGCCTGATGTCTGTCTGGCTGGATTGCGTGGATGGATGGAGGTGTCATCACTTGGACTCCTTGCAGAAAGCCACCTTCTTGTTGGCTCTGAGTGCCAAACATCCATCTCCTCGAGGCAGAGGCTTGGGCATACCAGGGAGCATACCTGTGATGTCTGCATTGGGGCTTCATGCTTGTGTTGTCAGATCTGGAATGACTTCATGAACCGGTCAGGAGAAGAGCAAGAGCGTGTCCTGCTTTACCTGGAGGAGGAGGCCGGGAAGAAGCACAAGAGGAAGCTGCCCTTGAAAAACAAAGAGAAGTGGAAAGGTGCTGGGAGGGGAAGCCGGGTGGGGAGATCCTCTCCTTTCCCTCCTTTACATGCACTTTGGGAAGGCTGCTTTTTCCTGAGGTGCTCCCTGCACCATCCAGTCATGGCAGGGCAGGGGTGCGACAGTGCCTGAAGGGATTGGAGGCCCCACAAAACCCCATCATGAACTTGAGTGGGAGTTTATGTGGGCCAGCTGTGGCTGCGGTAGCTGGCTGGGGTCCTGGGGGCTCATTGAGCACCTAAGTGAGATGACGCCACGGGGCTGCAGACCCCCTTTAAATCCCTTCTTTTCTTCCCTCTGCTGGCTGCAGAGCACCCTGCCTACACACCCAAGGAGTGCTTCCAGCGCATCAGTCGCCGCCTGCGCTCCACCCTGAAGCGTGGCAGGATCCCTATGGTGAGCTGGGGACACGAGGGGTGGGGGCAGGGCTTTATGGTGTGTTTCGATGCTGTTCCTGAGCTGCCAGCAGGTGCTGAGCTCCTGGGAATGCACACCTGCTCTTAGGTGACCTCTGGAGCAGTGGCTTGCTGACAGCAGATGTTCAGCTCCCCATGCAGAGAGGTTTTCATGGGTTAGCAGAGGTCTTCTGGG